AGATCTCATTTTCCCTTATAGAATGGATGGCATGGAAGAGACAGACCACATTTAGGCTATATTCATATTTTAACACTACCTTCTATCATAATTGGTACTCAACCAACAAGATCCTATTCCTCTGATTCCCAGACCCCCTAACAATCTCTTTTGAGTTTGGGCCACTGCCATATTCCACAGAGGAAAATGAGATCTATTACTTTTCCAAGAACCCATGGACTCTCATGTCTTAGGAAACAAACAGAAAGTCACTGAAATCAGAACTTGGGACTCACCTGTTTAGTTCTAACCTATTCCATTAAAGGGAATTTTTTTTTTTTTAAATTTCCTTTTTTTTCAAATGTAAATACTATGGCAAGTAGTCACCAGCCAGTGTTTGGTTCCACGGTGATTTTTAAAATAAGCATTGTTGTTGCTAGGTGCTGTCAGGTCAGTTCTGACTCATAGCAACCCTATGTACAACAAAACAAAACACTGCCTGGTCCTGTGACATCCTCACAATTATTGCCATGCATTGTTACAGTGACTCTGTAAATCCATCTCATTGAGGTCTTCCCCTTTTTCACTGAACCTCTACTTTACCAAGCATGATATCCTTTTCTGGGGATTGGTCCCTTTTGACAACATGATCAAGAATGAGAGATGAAGTCTGGCCATTCTTGCTTCTATGGAGCATTTTGGCTCTACTTCCTCCAAGACAGATTTGTTTGTTCTTCTAACAGTCCTTAGTACATTTAATACGCTTCACTAACACCACAATTTAAATGCCTCAATTCTTCAGTGGTATTCCTTATTCATTGTCGAACTCTTACATGCATATGACGCAACTAAAAATACTATGGCTTGGGTCAGGCACGCCTTAGTCCTCAAAGTGACATCTTTGCTCTTTGACCCTTTAAAGAGTTCTTTTGCAGAAGATCTGCCCAATACAATACTTTGATTTCCTGACTGCTGCTTCCCTGGGCATTAATTGTGGATCCAAGTAAAATGAAATCCTTGACAACTTCAATCTTTCCTCCATTTATCATGACATTGCTTATTGGTCCAGTTTTGAGTATTTTTGTTTTCTTTACGTTGAGTTGTAATTCATATTGAAGGCTGTAGTCTTTGATCTTCATCAGTAAATGCTTCAAGTCATCTTCACTTTCAGTAAGCAAGGTTGTATCATCTGCATATCACAGGTTGTAAGTCTTCTTAATATCATGTTTTTCCTCATATAGTCCAAACCCACTGCCATCGAGTCGATGCTAACTCATAGTGACTCTCACTGGGTTTCCAAGGTTGTAAATCTTTATGAGAGTAGATTGTCTCTTCTTCCTCCCACCAAGTAGCTGGTGGGTTTGAACCACTGACTTTCTGGTTAGCAGCCAAATGTCTTACCCACTATGCCACCAGAGCACCTTTCATATAGTCCAACTTCTCATATTATCTGCTCAGCATACTAAGTATGCTAAGTACAGTGAAGGAATATAACCCTGAAAGGATACAACAAAGTAATCATGGTTGTTGTTTGCCATCGAGTCGGCCCCGACTCAAAGCGACCCCTCCTTGGGTTTCCGAGGCAGTATCACTACGGAAGTAGGAATGCCCAACCTTCCTTCCGAGGAGTGGCTGGTGGGTTTGAACTGCCAGCCTTCTAGTTAGCAGTCAAGTGCCTTAGCCACTATGCTACCAGAGCTCCTAAAGGAAGAGAAACCACACCTCCCAACTGACTGTGTGGGATTCCTAGCGAGCCCTCCAGGAGTTCCCAAGCAGGGCCAAAGTGGAGAAAGACACGGCCAGGTCTACGGGGTGGGGAGTGGCCGGTGGGTTTGAACCACCAGCCTTGCGCTTGGCAGGCGACTGCTTTAGGCCCCAAAAGCCATCCTCTGGGGCAAGGAAGTATCACTACGGAAGGAGATTGCCCAACCTTCCTTCCAAGGAGTGGCTGGTGGGTTTGAACCGCCAGCCTTCTGGTTAGCAGTCAAGTGCCTTAGGCACTATGCCACCAGAGCTCCTCTCATTAGCATCTCTAAAAAACTTTCATAGAGTGTTAATATGACAAACAACTGCAGCAAACTTTTTCTCTAGTTAGATTCAGGCATGGGGAAAAATAAAATCCAAGGAAATATATTTCTTACATGAGAATTTCCCAGTAATTCCAGCCAAAATGTATCTGCTTCATGTCAGTCTTTGTCTTGGCTCTCTAACGCTGCTATAACAGACATACCTCAAGTAGATGGCTTTAACAAACAGGAATTAATTCTCTTACAGTTTAGGCAGTTCAAAGCCCAAATTCAGAGTGCTGGCTCTAGGGGCTGGGTGAAGGCCCCTCAGCCTTGGGCTAAGGCTCTGCCTCTTATTCCAGGCCCACTGGAGCTGGAAGTGTCTCCTATCATCTCAGGCAGCTGCTGGCTGCTGAGGCTGACAAACCCAATGTCAGCAGGTAAAATGGCACAATCCGCTCATTGGCAAGCCAGACAACAGACCACTGGTTCAAATCCAGGAACAATTTGAAGATTGGCGGGCAACACGGCAAGCCACTGGATGAAGACTCAGCCAAACGTAAGATCCAGGTATGCCAAAAAGCTAGAGACCCTTCCCAAAGCTCTTCCATATATACTAGAACCAGGCCACAACCCAAAGGCAACTACTGAGCTGCTTAGAGCAGATTCTACCATGGAGGTAATTACAGTCTCATCATGGGGAATAACTATACCCAGCTGCCCTGCCACTCAAACCATGGCACAGACAAGTTGATGCACAACCTTAATTACCACAGTCTTTAAGGAAGAGTCTTACTGGAGTTCACTCAAACAAATAGAAAACACAATTTGTAAGACAGATCAAAGTGGATTTCTACTAGAACCAAGGAAGGAGTGGAGTTTTCTATCCCCTTGACCTTCCCTTCTCCTTCCATCCTGACCTATGCAGAGACCTGATGGATATTCCATTCATTTGGTCTATATCTAACTCCTTATAGGCAAAGACCACCTTGTCCATTCTCCCAAGCCACTCAGCAGCACACTAAGCAAACCCTACCATTGAATCAGATAGTCTTTCTCACCTGTACCTTTGGTTCACTAGGTGAGGAAAGAATTGCATACATGCAACTTCTGGGTCAGTGAGTAGTTTTTCATGGCCTGCTAAAGACTGTCCAGGCCCTGGTCTTCTTACTCTTCCGACTCCCTGTCTTATCTATCTCTCCCCATTTGAGAGAAGGAGCTGTGGAAAGAGCTCAATCCAGCCTAAAAGCTGGGTAGGTATGAACTTTTGGCTAGTAGTCTAGCACTAAACCATTTGCGCTACCAAGGGACTCCGTAGGGAGCAGGGAGTCCTTGAAATAAAACCTGCATAAGTCCATACTCCTTCAGACATCATTTCCATGAATAGTTGCCCACACTGAGAGACTAAAACTTTTAGAACTTCTAGGATGAGTGAGATAATGGCCTTTAACTGAAATGGGATTGGCCTAGAAGCCAGATGAGTGGGAAAGGTGAGGGTCAGGGCACCAGAAAGACAGACAGACCCCTTTCCTGTCATGCATTCCTGCATTCTACAGATA